TTTGCCTGTGGAGGTGTTGGCTAGTTGTCTAGATCCTTGAGTAACTGACCTTTTTAGTTTGTTTTTATGTTGTTTGTTTTCAGCTTTGTCCACAACAGGCAGTCACTTCAGACCAGGAAGTCTCTAAAAGCACCGAGACTCTTCGGAGGTTAATGCTTTTGGCCAAGATCATGGATGGGGAGGATACAGGGCTTTACCTTCAGCACCTCTCTTGGTATCTCACTATCAACAGGATGATGGCCCACAGGAGCAAAGGCACCAGTTTTCACACACTGCCTAGTTTACCCATTTTGTCAAATCCTTTCTCCTGGCCTCCTGACTATGACACCACCCAGGTGTCCATATTTTCTGCCAGGAAAAGTCTGCTGGGGACAAAGCTTCTTACTTCATATTTATCTTCTCTCCATTTTGGAAAGTGTCCTGTCTTACATTGCAACTTGTTGAAAGCAGGAAAATAATTTTATAGTAAGACTAATTTACATTAAAGTGAAAATGGCATATTATTTTGAGGGGTACCACTTCAAGTAATTTGTTTAAATTTTAATAATATATTGGGAGGTTTGGTGGTTCAGGCCTGTTGTTCTGGCACATAAGGAGGCAAAGCTAGGTGTTCAAGGCCAGCCTGGACAACATAGGAAGCCCTCACCTATATAACAACAACAACAACAACAAAGAATATGACAGAGACATTCATTTCATTGAGCATTACATTTTTTGAGCATTATATATACTGTGTCCTGTGTCTCTATCCAAATTTTAGGTTCAAAATATATTATTACTATAATATTAACCCCAAAAGAAAAATATTTATTTGTAATAATCTAAGGACTATGATATATAAAGAAGACCTCTCCAAATGCTCAAATCATCCATATTGGGAATTGATTACTCAAATAGCTCTCTCTCTATACCTCTATCTAAACCAGGACCAAAGACTGAACGGGCTCTGAAGATATCTTTGTTATTTGTTTTTGTTTTAGAAACAGGGTCTCTCTTTGTTGCCCAGACTGGTCTTGAACTCCTGAGCTCAAACTAATCCTCCCCGCTCAGGCTTCCAAAGTGCTCGGATTACAGATGTGAGCCACTGCGCCAGGATTGAAGGTATCTTCGTAGGGTGCTTCTTTTGCATGGGAGAGGAAACATAGAGATCCAATACAGATGGGATTGTTCTATAGAGTAAAATGAACAAGTGCATAATTAATTCCCATTTAAGCCATTCTCTGTTTGGTCAAAAGTTTGCCAAAAGTTTCTGCCATTTGATCCTCTATCTCTGAAGTGAATACTGAAGCAGTGCAGTAAGACAGCTATTAGCAGAGGAAGGGGCCTTCTTGGGACTCTTGCAGCTCATGTGGATATGGAACTGCAGAAGAGAGAGGCTGAGGTTGAGGTAAAATAAGACCCTGAAACCCAAAGGCGACTAACAAGATAGCATTGGTTAGAGTTCAAAACCTCAGAGATCCATATAGCTTTCTTGATGGAAAACTCATTTATCTTGACCTAAGGCAGAAAGTGAGAAGGAGACAGTAGCCACTAAGACAGAAGAAAACTTAAACATCTGAAGAGGGAAATTCAATGGGCTCCAGGTGCCTTCCTTGTCAACATTTCAGAAAAACTCCCAGAAGTTTGATAGAGCTCATGCGTGTCAATGGAACTGTAAAACCCCGTCAAGTCGCCATCCTGGTTGGACTCTAATAGGGAAGAAAGAGAAAGGATTAGAACCAGAGAGAAGGAAGGCTGCTTCCAAAAATAAATTTCAAGAATATCTTAGGGTCAAAGGATGGACATCTTCACTGGGGACCGAAGATGGGGAGCAAATAGCACGGAGAAAAAGGTTTATAAGGTTTAGGAGCAGAAACATTTGATTTGGAATTCCCCATCCTGTTCCTGTTTCAAAGGGCCTCTTCTGATGCTGTCTGTTGCTGTTGTGCAAACTTGCTTTTCCTGCAGAGCCATTGAGGCATCTTCACATGCCCTGATGTCTGTGCTCTTTAACTCCCGAGATAATTATTCTCAAAGGAAGAAGTCACTGATGGAAATTCCTGTAGCTCTATTGGATAGCAAATAAATTGCATTTATTCCTTCTGGAAGAATTGGTTGAAAGCAGAATTATGTAAAGGGACTCTATCAAGAGCAAATATAGGTTAAAACTTGAATTTTTCTCAATATTCTAGAAAGATGATGGGCTGTCAGTATCCTGCAAATGTCCCATCTCTTCCTAGGATGTATGAAATCTCTCTCTCTCTCTCAAGCCATCTGGTGTTTGCATTATACTTTCATGTGTTTTTCCACTCACAACATCACGTCTTCACACACACTCTTTCATGCCAGAAATTTCATCCCAGTGATGTTTGGCCCACCCCTTCCTCTGTTTCCTTCACATATTTCTTGAAGTATCAAGATGTTCCTGAATATGAAAAGCCTTTTTCTTCCTGTCCGTTTCTTATACAGAGCCTCTAAGTATGAAATCAACCATCATACATAAATAGTGTACATATTTTATTTGTTTGTTCATTCATGGGTAGTAGCTGCTGTTTGTGTGAATGGTTTAGATGTTCTCTGTAGAATTATTCTCTTCTATTTTGTTAACAATGCCCACTTTCAATGGTAACACATTGCAAACTAGAAAATATATTCTTTAACCAGGATTTTTTAAAAATAGGTATATAGGAATGTTCCTTGAGAGACAGAGAGAAAATATTGGTGCTCATACATTTATATATATATATATGAAAATGTACTCCTATTTATATACACACATAGAAATGTGCATGAATGAACATATATATACATGTATATGTGAATATACACATGTATGTATCATATCATCCTTTGTTTTATATTTTTGTGTATATTTCAAAACATATTCGAGATTTTTATACCATGATACCTAAATATAATTTATTTATATTCAAAACAGTGTCTACACCATCATGACTAAGCTGTGGCTGAAAACCATTTGATAATGAAGCAATGGAGCTGACAATGATATTCACTCATTGCCTGGTTTTTTTTTTTTTTTTTTTTTTTTGGTGCTTTTAAAAATTGCTGTCTAATTATAGAATTGTATTCACTCCTGTTTTAATAAATAAGAGACGATTTACAATAACTCACTTGCAGCAATGTGCTTTGAATCATTTCAGAGAAGATGGAGGACAGAAGAGATTGGCTGACACCACAGTATGATAAAAAAAAAAAAAAAAACGGAATCAGTGGTATTTATGAGATGGATAAATAAAGCACGCACCCACCCCTATAAGCCCACTGCATGGTCAAGTTCTTAGGAAGGTGATGAGGCAACCTCTCCGATATTCCCATTATAGAGCTCCACTAATATTCTGCTTGGTGATGACAAGGTTGAATTTAGATTGGTTGATAGTTGGTATTGAGCCCAAAACCAGGGTTGAAGTTGTTCTAGGGAGAGGCTGGATTGAGGCACAATGTAGGCTAACGTTAACCTCCTCCTGACTAGACACCCCAGCGGAAGGGCCTTGACACAAACCCAGTGTATCTCCTGAGTGGGCAAATACAAAGAGCGATCCAGGGTGTTAGTTGCTAGTTGCATGACCTGAGCAGCAATGCAGGGAGGACCTTCCTTTTGCCTTTGAGCCTCCTCCTCCAGAGAAACTTTTACCAGTGACTTGGCAGTGAGACGTGTGTTTCATGTAGTGGTGAATGTTTTAGATCCCCAGACTCTTGTTCTACTGAAGACCCTCCTTCCAGGGTCCTGCATTGAACTGGCCTTGCTGCAGCCTTCCTGAGTCTGTCAGCAGTAAAGGCAACAGTCCCCAGAATGGAGCATTTTAGCCAATAGTTAAAAGTCCTGGTATTTTCTCCACAAAGTGATGATAAGAAAGGGGGTTGACCCCTCAATCATATCAAAAATGTTTGGAGGTCACTGGGTAGACATGAAAGACAACCTGTTGAAAATTTAGATGGAGGTCTGGAGTCATACAAGCAGAGGAAAAAGACTGAAAAGAAATAATGTCAGAATGTTAATGATATGGTGATGTTAGAGTTGATTTTATTTTTTTTTCGTTGTACTCTGTAGTGTGAATTCTCTAAAAGGAGCATTTTTTAAACAAGAAAAAAAATATACAATGTTAAAATAGGCACAGAAAACCTGAATACAATAAAATACTTTTAAATAAGTTAACACTCATATCTAGAAACTCTAAGCAAAACTAGTTTGCCAACAGTCACAAAAGGTAATTCTATTTAGATTAAAAATGTGAGCTATGACTATCTCACTTTCAGATATTCACAGAATAGGATACCAGGACTAAATTGTGTGCATGGCTGAGGAAACATAGCTTTTTGTTTTCTCTGTGTCAGGTGGTTTCTCTCTCTTTAACCAAGATTACATTTCCAGAGTATCTACTTCTCCATTTCTCCTGCCTTTTATTTTTCCGTGGTTGCAATCTCCTGTAATTATGAGAAAAAAGTTTTTTTAGCTGGCTCTGAGATTAGCCAGTTTGGAGCCAACCTGACGATTCCCAGTTGGTGCTAATAATCTTCTCTGTAGACACGTAAGTTTTCAGGACATTCAGCTCTGCTCTGAGACTTAAAACAGCTGGAAAATGCATGACTTGAGTTTTTAGATCTGACAGCATTTGAATCCACTGTCAAATAGTACTTAATACCTGTTAATCTTTTTGCAGTTTATTTTCTTGTGCTTAGATATTTGCTACAGTAATTAAAAGCAGTTATGAATTCCTGAAATATAATTCCAAATACCTAGTTCTAATGAGTCAATCCAGTACTTGGATAAACAAATACCAAAGTTCAGGAGAGGGTTAAAAAGTTGGGAGTTGTCTTTATTTTTGAATCACACTATCTTTAAATTGCACAGTATTATCCTTAAACTGTACAAATTCAACCTGAAAGGACAAACCATTCCTCAAATTAACGCCTTTTGCACTTTGGTGATACATCTTTATTTACGAAAACCTGACATCTCCATTTCATTAAATTTTTAGCACTAATCTGTGCTTCTTGCTAGATATTTAACAAATGAAGTTTTTGTTAATGTATTAGTCTGTTCTCACACTGCTAATAAAGACATACCAGTGACTGGGTAATTTAGAAAGGAAAGAGGTTTAATTGACTCAAGTTCTGCATGGCTGGGGAAGCCTCAGGAAACTTAGAATTATGGCAGAAAGGGAAGCACATCCTTCTTCACATGGCAGCAGCAAGGAGAAGTGCTGAGCAAAATGGGAAAAAGCCCCATATAAAACCATCAGATCTCATGAGAACTCACTCCCTATCACGAGAAGAGCATGAGGGTAATCCCCTTATGATTAAATTACCTCCCACCAAGTCCCTCCCACCACATGTGGGGATTATGGGAACTACGATTCAAATTGAGATTTGGGTGGGGACATAGCCATCCATATCAGTTAATGACAATTTCGTTCATAAATTCATTCATTCATTCACAGCCCTCTGGATTACATATACCAGGGAACAAAACAGGTTTAAAAAAAATCTCTGTTCTTGGGGAGCTAAAATTCTAGTAGGTGGAGAATAAACATAATAAGTAAAATACATGGTATTTTAAGCCCTTTGGAAAACATGCAACATTGTGGGAGATATGGAGAGAGCAGACTGCAATTTTAGTTGGGGATGGTTCTGTGTCAGTCTCACTGAGAAGGTGACTTCCAAAGGCTTGCAAAAGAAAAGTGGGTTAGCCAAGCAAAGGGAGCAGCCTAGGCAGGCAGAATGAATGGTGCAGGAATCCGAAGAGGTAGAGAACAAGTGGGAGGGGAGAGGTGGAGGAACAGCAGTGTAGCTGTGAGAGGGATGGGGGCCCAGTGAGAGGTGAGGTCAGAGAGGTCATGGGGTGAAGGAGTATAGATTACATAGGGTCTCCTGGGCCATTATGAAGATCTTGATGTACTCTGGTTGAAGAGGGAGCTGTTGCAGGATTTTAAATGAAGAACTGGTGGCCCCTGACTTTTGAAGGTCACTCTAGCTGCCACGTTGAGACTAGATTGAGGCCAGGCAAGGGTGGAAGCAGGGAGACCAGGTAGGAAGAGGATTTACTTAGACCAAAGCAGTAGCAGGGAGAGTGGTGAGAAGTGGTCAGACCCTGGATCTATTCTAAAGGTGGCACTAACAGAGTTTGCTGAGGGATTCAAGATGGGGTGTGAGAGAAAGGAAGGGGACGACAATGAGATAGTCCAAGGGTAAAGGGAAAAGTGGAGTTTCTATCAACTGAGTTTGTATGCCTTTGTTTCTGGGACTCAGGGGTAACCTTCTGAAAGACAAGGATATGCCCTGTGTTCTGTAAACATCACAGAATCAAGAAACAATAAAAATGATGCCTAAACATAAAGTTGAATATTCCCCCTCATTTATGTGCAACCTACAGGGAGCTTGAGCCTTTCCCATTGCATAGGGAATGTCTCAAGCTCCACTCTGGGGCCTGCCATCTAGGTTGGCACCTGAGGATAGATGTTTCTGGGCCCTCATCATTCCCCTTAGAGTCTTAGTGATGACTTATGGATGGCATGGGGATAGGTTACTTCTTACCTGTTCTGGATATGTTTTACCCTTTGGACTCCATGGGAATCCAGGTGCGTTCCCAAACATGTAACAGTTCAGGAGAGGGATAGAGGATGAGGGATGAGATCAGGTTGCACTTCAGGTCTCACTATCTTATTTTCTTGCACTACAAACAATGCAGGCTTAATCCAGAGGGCATGGGACAAAAAACTTGAAATTTTTTGACAGAGGCCAGCTCAAAAACATAAATGAATGACCCTGGCCAGATGGAAACAATGGGGAGTAAGTGGTGCTGACTGTGGCAAAACAAAGAGTTGCAGGTGATGGCTGCTATGAGAAAATGTAAGCCCAATAAACAAAATGTGTGTGAGTGGATTGCAGCCCAGGAACCACTTCTTGGCCAATGGCTTGGGCCATGGGAGCAGTACCATGAAGACTCTCTCTTGGTCTTTAGAAGGCTCCTCCCTCTAACTCTCCCTCCCTTCCCCTTTCCCACAGCCCTTTCTTTAACCCATTCATTGCCTATACTACACTACCCAATTCACCCTACACTACTTCCTGACTTTTGCTCAGCCCCTACAAGAATAATCTGGTTCTGGATCTTTTTGTTCCCCTGTGTCTTGCCAACTCTACTGAAATAAACGCATAAGGTGTTTGTCTATAGATGTGAAGTAATTCACAAGTTTTACATTTCAGTATTTACCTATACATATTTACCAATGTACACTCCTAGCAGCATGCTGCAAGGGAGTCTTCAGTATGCCAACACGTGACTCACAATTGTTTTCATTTTTTCCAGTCAAGTGGGCAGCAGAAATAGTCTTTCTTTTTCCCTATGTTTTCCTGATTGTTGGTGAGGTTGAGTATCTTTTCAAGTGTTTGTTGATTATCTGAATTTTCTTCTGTGGATTATCTACTCATATCCTTTGACCCTTGTTCTATTGTGTGGTTTGTCTGTTGTCTTTCCTTTAACAGTTAAATATTTCACAAATATTTTTTCTCAGACTGTTTTGTGTTTTGCATGTGTGTGTGCATGCGTGTGTGTGTGTGTGTGTGTTTTAATGCTGTTTATGGTGTCTTTCATTCCTCAAAAAAATTTCCTTAAGGTCATTATATCTGATTTTCTTTTTTATTATGGATTCTGAGTGTTCTATCTTCTTGTGGAAGACTGTCCCCATATCAAGCTTGTAAAGAGAGTCTCCTTTATTTTCTTCTATATTCACAAATTTGGTCTTTACATTTGACCTTTTCATTCATCTGAAAATTCTTTTTTAAATCATATGAGAATTAGTCTTTTCTTCAAATGGTTAGCCAACATTATTTTCTAGAAAAAAAAAAAATCCATTGTTTCCCACAACTTTACAATGTGGCCTTCACCTATATTCAATTCTAGTCACTTAATTCAACAGCAAACATTTGTTGAGCTCTGCTACATGGAGAACTCTGCAAGGTAGAGTTAAGGTTCAAAGTAGAGTCAAAACCAGATGGGCTCCTGGACTCCATCAGTATTAGCCTTGATTCAATACTCTCTGCTGGACTTTACCGTTTTCAAACGTAATGGATCATTAGCTTTCTAAGAATATTTCACACCTATTAATGGTAGTTCCAACTATACCAATGATCTAAGATTATAACATATTTTTATCACGAAACAGGAACAAATAAAAAGGTAATCTGTAAAAAGCTCCCCAGCTTTCCCATGTCCTCATTATAACTCCATTCCAGGTTCTCCTCTTATCCTTGAAAGAGCACCCGTCTATCTGTGAGCGTCATAAGCAGGAATGCAAGTTCAGTGCCACCTTTGCTCCCTGCAAACGAAATATATTAATTTCCCATGTCTCTCATTGTTTCCTCACCCATTCAGGAGGAATTCGAAGGGAGAGCAAGAGAGTGTTGCAGCATGACTACCTGCGGCTGCAAGCAAGGGCACCTCCCTGCTTCTCTTGCTTTTCCCCTTTCACCTTTTCCTTGCTGGCCTTCAAGTGAAAAAGACTCATCTCCCCTTAGACCCAGGAAACAGGAAGAAATATCTCATTGACTTGAGAAAAATGTCTAATGAAAATACGTTTATTCCTTTAATGCCTAGGGAGATTGCAAATCTATTTAGGGAAATATATCTTAAAATTTTGTCTTGAACTTGAAGTTCATCCGGACATGGCCTCTCTGTAATGCAGGTATAAGGGGAACCATGGCAGATTTTTAATGTCAACAGTGATTTTTCTTTAGGGGCATTCCATGTAAACTATTGACACCTCCAGGGGTCCAAAGTGAAAGTCCTACATTGAGCTGTTTATATAAAAGTTTTCACAATTCAATAGGAAAGCAAATCTTTATTTCAAGTATAGATGTTTTTCCTCTCCATTATCCCGTCATGAAACTTGCTTTTGATCTAACGCAAGGTCAAAAGCAGGACCTTGACCTGCTAGAATGGAGGCTTCAGGGTGTGCCTGAAGACTAAGAAGGAGACATACTATTTGAAGTGATCTCCACGATATTTATGATTTCAAGGGCTCTATTTTTGGCTCTTGTAAGGCCTGGTTTTGACTACTCTGCACATTACCTCACCTCTCACCTCCTTTACTTTCTTTCCCTTCTCACCACCATCACCCCTGTTCATCAGTGGAAGCCAACTAAATAGAGAATGAATGGCTGATGAAAACTACAATGGAAGCCAATCTTGAAAGAATGGACTTTCCAGGAGGTGAAGTGTAGGAGAAAGGTCCAGGAGTAAGGAGAGACACTGATGACAGCAGGACTGGCAATGGCAAGAGCCAGGAGTCACAGACTGAGGTCCTTCACCCCAAGGTGAAGCCCATAACTTCTTCCATTCTTCCTCTGCCATGTGAAAATATCCTCCAAGATGTGTTACTCTTATGTATTTGTTACTAACTCCATCCACTTGTTTCTCATTGGAAGAAAATATTTCTAATTCATTGAAGAAGTTTAAATTCTAGTAAAATTTTTAGTGTTTATGATTCAGAGTTAAATAGAATCCCCTAATTTACATTGATTTTCTTTTAAAAGGATGAGTTTGGCCTTTCAAAATGTGAAATGCCTCCACAACAGTTATCTTCAAGTGGTTTTATCTTCTTGCTTGCTTCATTGTCCCTGGCCCTTTTGGAAAGTTGACTTTATTTTATACACCCAGATACTTTTGCTTCACCCGTTTGCTGTGCTCCTAAGGCACTCCCAAACTTAAAGTAAAAGGATGAATTTGCTGATTTTTCTTCCATGAATAAGCCATATCCTCTAGAGCAAATGGGCATAAGCTCTGTAGGCTTCTTGTCCTCATTGGCATAGGGTTTTAGACTTTGTGGAGACAAAAAAAGAAAAAAAAATTCAAATTCCCTTAGAACAAATGACCCAGATTAGAGAGCAATGTATTGACTAGGAAGGAAATGGACAGAAAGAAAATATGTAGCTTGTCTCTACAACTGTAGTTTTTAAGCCCAAATAGTTTCTTGGAAGGCTCCTTTGGGTGGGAGGATTTATTGATTTTTTAAAATTTCTTTAGTTCCTTTCTAAGTCCTACTTCTGGGGCGGCTGCTGGATCA